TTTTAACTTTATGTGTATAGTAAAAACTTAAAAAATCTTCTTTTAAAAAACCCAATGAGCTAGAGCTTAGATGTTTAGCATGAAACATCTTATGGGTGTCTACCAAGTTTTTTCAAATAAAAGCCCTTGGGTTAAAATTGGCCCTGCCGAGGGGGAGGGGATGGAGGTCATTGTTTGTGGAGTTCAATATGGCATGGGTGTCACAGTATTAACTGTTCAATGATTAGGGAAAGGGGTATTGAAGTAATCTGATAGCTCAGTGGGTAGAGCTTCGGAATGGTATTCAAAGTGTCCATGCAAGCCTCCAAGGTTTGAGCCCCAGTCAGGCTGCACAGTTACTTTCGGGAACCAACATAGGGCCAACACTGTATAAACAGACATCTCACTATGTCAGTTCATCAATTATTTAAGGAGATATTACCTATGTTCATGTATAGCGCGGATCGCATATTTAGAAAATGTTTATGCGGTTGAGCTGCAGTATGGTATTCAAAGTGTTCTGGGTTCATACGGTAGTGCTGTTGAGGCATGATATTCTGAGGGTCTTTGTTTTGAGTCTCAGTCAGGCTTACACTGTGATTAATAAGTATTTCCAGCTAATTATTTGCTTTGTGAAATATTTAATTATTGTCTATAAGACATTGTAGCAGTACTAAATTTGACAGCTTTTGAATAAGGGGGAGGGGGGGGGGGGGGTGAGTTTGCCTAGAAAGTTGTGTGGACCTAGGCAGGTGCCCTCAATTAATTGCCTCCTCACCAGTGTGTATTTTTAGGATAGCCTGTAAGGATTAATCATTAAGATTATTATAATACCACAGGGGTATTTTCCTCTACTTGGTGTAATCAGAAACTATATACAGTTCTCCTCTGTAACATTTAATACAACAATGTAAAATTTACTTGGAGTTTCATTTTATCACCTATTCCACAGGGGACTGTGATGATATAAAACGATGGTATAAAAGACCTATTCACATTGTAGTGATTCAGGGCAACAGATAAGGTGCCTATTTGGGTGTTTACGCAATTAATTTTATAAAATACGCAATTGATTTTTTAAGAATGCGTATCAAAACCCATTTGAAAAAAAATACGCAATTGTCTTAAAGACCCTTGCGTATTGTCATTTTCATCACCGCAAAATTAATCTATCGTACGCTCGTAGTTTTGGACAAATTATTTCCATATGCATGCTATCCGAATATTCCCGAATCAATGCTAACTAATCAACGGTCTCCGGTCTTCGACGGTCCCCGGTCTCCAAAAACCGACTAAGTCATATCAATAAAGCTTGACACCGTCGATTTGTCTACTCAGGTCGATGGTCTTTACAGACCGGCAGAAACCTTTGATTTTGCGGAGACCGTCAATAAGAAGGTCCCACCTGTATTGATCAACAGAAGTTTTGAAAGCAATATGGCGTCGTGCAAAAGGGAAAATGATTTGAAACAAAACAATCGTAAATAATAAAAAAATCAGTCAGAAAACGAACTTGTTAAAAATATTATGAAATATAACATGAGCATTTTATATAAAAAAAACAATTGTAAAAAATTCTAGTAAATTGTTAATCCTATTTTCTTTTTAAAACAGTTTAAACTTCATTGATATTGAAACCATCATTCATATTTTCATAATTGAATACCCAATTGATCTTGAAATCATAGGGTATGGAGTTTTGATATACCCAATTAAATGAAGCCAATACCCAATTCCAAAGGAAATAATGGAGTAATACCCAATTCTCTTTTAAAGCTTACATGTATCTGTTGCTCTTGTGATTGTACATATTCAAGGACAAATTTCAATAAAGCAGGGATATATGTCATGGTTCCAAACTGTCCACTATTTAGGGAGGTGATGTGTAAGCAGCCTGATAGTTCAGTTGGTTGAGCTGCAGAATAGTTTCCGAGGGTCCGGGTCGAGTCTCGGTAAGGCAGCATATTTTTAAAACTTGTGACAAGTGCATTGACTTAAAAAATGTTATATCAGGGATGCTTTCTTTGGATGTTATATGTCCTTATGGTGTCCTTGGTCTCATATATTTCCCCTAAAGACTAACTCAAATATTTGTTGACAAATAAGCATACCAAGGAATGCAAAAGAAAGTTGTCGGATTTATTGAAAAGAAACATAAAATAATGTAACAAACCTGAAATGATTTGGAACATTTGTCCTTATGACTTACATGGCCGTAATGATATAAAAACAGGTCTTTGTCAAAATTAAAGGTTACAACCATTAATATACATTAGTTAATTTTGATTTTCAAAGCATTTTACAAGCTGAAGTCGATCAATTATTTAACAATGGTTAACTATTTAAATACAATATCTCAGTTGTTAATTTAAATTGAAATAAATACCCGATTTCAAGTGAAAAGAATCTGATATAAAACATATATGTGAAAAATGTTTTATTTTGACCGTAGGCGATAATTACAAATAAATCAAAACATAACTAACACTGGGCTTTACTAAATATATATGAATGTCAACTTTAAATAGACGATGCCTTTTACATGTGTATCTTTATATAAAGATACTTATGTGCTGAAATCAAATTGTTAACAAAAAGTTCTGTTAAACTTGAAAATGTGAAGAAATGTCCAATGTACAGTGCACAAGTCGCAATGATCATCAGGATTTGAATTGAGCAAAACAAAAACATGCTCAAATTTAAAACACTATAATATAGACTACGACCGTACTTCCTTCCGACATTTTTGTCCGGAGCATATCTCAAAAAGTATTTGAGATATCAACATGAAACCTCATAGGTGGATAGATCTCATTGAGGAGGAGGGCAGTGTACAAAATGATAACTCTACCCTGCACAATTTTTGAGTTATTGTCCTTTGTTATTTTTCAAAATTAATTTTTGTCCAGAGCATAACTCAAAAGGCCTTTGACATGTCAACATGAAACTTCATAGGTGCATAGATCTCACTCAGGAGGTGTGCAGTGCACACGAATGATAACTCTACCTTTCATATTTTTTGAGTTATTGCCCTTTGTTATTTTTCATACATAATTTTTCACCTTAGTGGAGCATGACTCAAAGTGTTTGAGATGTCAACATGAAATGTCATAGGTGAATAGAATTTATTGAGGAGGAATTCTGTGCACAAGAATGATAACTCTTCCCTATACAATTTTTAAGTTATTGCCCTTTGTCCTTTTCATACTATTTTGCTCGGAGCTTATCTCAAAAAGTATTTGAGGTATCAACTTGGAATTTCATAGGTTGATGGATCTCATTGAAGAGGAGTGCAGTGCACAAGAATAATAACTCTACCCTGCATAATTTTTGAGTTATTGCCCTTTGTGCAGTGCACAAAATTAGGTGGATAGATCTTAATGAGAAGGAATGCTGTGCACAAGAATGATAACTCTTTGCTATATAATGTTTGAGCTATTGCCCTTTGTTATTTTCCATATCATTTTGTCCGGAGCTTATCTCAAAACGTATTAGAGGTATAATCTTGAAACCTTATAGGTGGGTGGAATTCATTAAGGAGAACTGCATTGTACAAGAATGATAACTCTACCCTGCATAATTTTTTAGTTATTCTCCTTTGTTATTTTTCAAAATTAATTTTTGTCCAGAGCATAACTCAAAAGGCCTTTGAGATATCAACATAAAACTTCATAAATGCAAAGATCTCACTCAAGAGGTGTGCAGTGCACAATATTGGTAATTCTACCTTTCATTATTTTTGAGTTATTGCCCTTTGTTATTTTTCATACTTTATTTTTCACCCAAGTGGAGCATAACTCAAAAGGCCCTTGACTTGTCAACATGAAACTTCATAGGTGCATAGATCTGACTCAGGAAGTGGGCAGTGCACATATATGATAACTCTACCTTTCATAATTTTTGAGTTATTGCCCATTGTTCTTTTTCATACTTAATTTTTCACCTGAGTGGAGTATAACTCAAAATTGTTTGAGATGTCAACATGAAATGTCAAAAGTTGATAGATCTTATTGAGGAGAAATAATTTAAATATATAAATTTGAGTTATTTTCTTTTGTTCTTTTTCAAACTATTTTGTCTGGAGCTTATCTCAAAAAGTATTTGAGGTATGAACTTGAAACTTCATAGGTGGATAGAATTTACTGAGGAGGTGTGCATCACACAATAATGATAATCTACCCTGCATTATTTTTCAGTTTTTGTCCTTTGTTGTTTTCAACTAGCAGAGTTCACATATGTTTCAAATCTGTAATCACTTCAGCCATCAGTTTTCATTACCAAAAGACCTCTTAAAATGGAATTATTCTGCTCTACTACATATACATTCTTCCAATGAGCAAACACATTCGGCGGGGGATGACCATGTTGATATGGCTCTTGTAAACTATTATCTTCAAAAATATTAATATATGTACTAATCGGATACAACGCGTTTGTCGTTAATTGTCGTAAGCGTCATATTTAAACTTAGTCATCATTACCACTATGTCATTCCATTTCAGTCTTTACAATCTAGACTAAAGCGTCTAAATAATACAAACGGAATCAAACGTTTATTGTGCAACACAATAAGATTAAATAGTAACTATAAGACACTTACTCGTTTAAGGCTTTTGCAACATGCCTACATTTATATTATATTCAGTCAACTTATAACCAAATGTATTGTAGTTGATTTAGATCATAACCGTGTAATTTTTTTTAAAAAATGCAACATTTTCATTAAGCATATCTCTAAGAAATACGAATGTGTAATTAACGGTAATACATTACTTGTAGTTGCGCAAACAATATGACTATTTAAATGTTTGGCATTTAGATGTTTTTCATATACAGTATAATATTTTAAAGGCATATAACGAATTGATTGTTTGGGAATGATGTAGCTTTCCGATTAAATGTTTTTCTTGTCGGTTTTTTAATACACCATTAGCAATTAGTACCGCATTTAGTCAACTAATCACTACTTCATTATACTCAATAGTAAAAAAGAATAATTGTAAAACGCCTGATTTTTTCAGACAAAAATGAGACGTTCAGCTCGAAAGAGGAATCCGCCTGCCAGACTTGAAGACCATGGCGAGCCGCCGCCACAAAAAAGTAAGCCACAAAAGAAATCACAAACCCCGACAGCTCATAAAGTACCTATAACGCCTAGGGGACCTACACAGCAACATGGGTTAAATTCTTCGGCTACATTATCGCCTTATTCACATACGTCCACGTCAAGGGCACCTACACTACCAGCAAGGGCAAGTACATCATCGCCTATAACAGCTATATCACAACAAGCGGACATGGCGCAGCAGTGTTTGGAGAAAGACATCAAGTTGGCAAATCGACAAGGTAAAAAACTAACAGTTATTTGTGTCTAAATTATGCTCGGGAAGTGCGTCCCTGAAAATTTAAATAAAAAAGGAATACACAAAGTCAATTTGTGGACATGGCCACCGTGTTGACTAGTTTTACCAAAGGCGTCATTCCACATAACGAAAGAGGGGCACACATTGTCATAAAGGGAGAGAGTAAAAAGGTAATTAACCCATCAAATACAAAGAAAAACGAAACTGTTGAAGAACTGTCGCTCAGCACACAAAACCACTTACAACTTGGGCCGGCGCACACTAGCTATTTCAGGTCGGGTAAAATATTATGATTTCAATTATCAAATAAAAATAACATTCTTACCTGGTCTGCAATTGATTCCAATCTTTACAATGCATAATTATATAATCACAGTAAACATAGTAACATACTATTTGCATTTTAATTCAATGGCATGATACACACAGTAGTCAGAAATGAGTAGTTCAATCTTACAGACGGAATCGCGTATCAAAATTAACAAATATAAAGAGCTGTAAAGTCTAAATTTGATATCATATAAAGTCACAAATGACTTGTGTTAAAAATGCCAAAACACTAAGTTTGATTACCGAAAAGGCCAAGATGTTCTTTTAGTTCAATATTTGTCTGATTTACTAATTTTAGTCACAAGACCTTGCCACAATTATAACATAATTAGAGTCTGATTCCGTTATCTTTGAAAAAAAAAAGATGCTGCTAAAATTACTAATGAAAAAAGAACTTGCAGCTGTAGTAAGACAATCACAAGGATGCTGCAAACTAAATTCATTTTTTAAAAAATGATAGACAGGATTTCGAAGAACCCCTTACCTTTCCCTACACTTACTAGTATAATTCATACTGAACATTTGGTTCGGATAAGCTTAGAAATTTTGTGCATGTGTGCAATACAATAGAGGATTTATTCACCCTTCTTTGCATTAATTTCTTCATAAGCAGGAGGACACATTTACAGCCCTCGTCATACAGGGTTAGGATTTAACTTCTGCAGGTGATGATGCACAAAAACCTGTGTTAGAGTCATTCTTAGATAGAAGTATTCGACTAATTAGGTGATTCTACGATATGTTGTTTTTCGCATAACGAAAGGTTTCGTATTGATTTTTACGCACTTGTGTGTTAAGACAACTAGGGGCCTTCTTTGCAATCAGTAGTTTTGCATGGTGTCAGAATCACGCACATCAGAGCTATTGGTAGGACATCATAGAGTGCTCGACTGTTCTTAGTGCTTGATAATTAAACAAGAACCCCCCCCCCCAAAAAAAAAAAAAAAAAAAAAAAAAATCTGTATATCTAAAAGGGCCATATTTCTGTCAAAATCGGTGATAGGGTTATTGGTCTATGACAGTGACCTCTTATGCTCACACATGAGTGTATTAGTGTATTAGGTTTTAACCTATTCCATTATGTTATTATTTAACAACCTTGAATGCAAAACAATAGCCAAACTGTAAAGCTGACGCCATTTGTGTACAATATGGTCCCGTTTCTTCGAAACATCAGATAAATAATGTGCCCGCATGGTTTTATCCATAAATGCAATTTTTTTCTGTGTGAATGAAACTTGTGTGTGCATATTTATGCAAGAAATAACAGTTTATTACTGTGTTATATGCATGATGAGTATTGATCATAAGAATTACTTTTATCTTGGAAATTTGTCAAAACATACGTCATTTAATGGCGGCCATGTTGGATTTTGAAGCCATATTGAATTTTCTTCCGATGCTATTACAGCACATTCCAAGTCATTATTATAATCGACCTACAATGTCAATTATATCATTTTAATGCCATAAATAAACCCCCTTTTGTCATGTCCCATGTATATTGTACATTTTGGCGGCCATCTTGGATTTTTGAGGCAATTTTGGATTTTTAAACAGTGGATCCCAGGCTGAAATGAATTGAAATACTATTTCTTGCCACCATGCCAAGTTTCATGCTTTTCCCCGGTGCACAATTATTTCACTGATTTCTTGGACTAGTAAGAAAAATGTTATGTACACAACTTGAAAAAGCGTTTCCTTTAATAATATACGCTGTGCAATTGAATATTATACACTAGGGAAAAAATGATCTTTTATAATTATCTTTAAAAGATTTAATACTAATTTTCCAAGACGAGTAAACAATACCACGACTAGTTATAAAAATGTGTAACGAAGTTGTCCTATAATTCCAACAATCGTGTCCGCATTGGCTATATCATGGTCATAAGTGTCCAAAAAAACGGGTCAAAACGTTTCTTACTATATGGCATTGGTCCGAAGTATTCGGAGTGAAAAAATTTTAATTTAAAACTGTTTTATTTAACATAAAAAAAAGCAGTAACTTAAGATTAAAAACTAAAAGACCAATACCTTTTTGGGCTGAAAGGAAATTTTTTTTTAATTTTTAGGGGGGGGGGAAAACCAAAATTTTTTATTTTTTTAAGAAAAACGTTTGGGGTTTGGAAAAACATAAAATTTTTAAATCAGGCGGCAAAACTAGCTCAATCCTTTGGCCCCTTTTTTCGCCTAGACCAAACCCACGCCTCCCACTAAAGGCCCCCCAACGCCTCCCACCCTAAATTTTCCATTTCCACCCCAAGTTGATAGGCACAGCAGGTTTTTGGAAAAGACATTTCCATTGGGAAAAGAAAAAAGGGAAGAAACAACCAATACTTAAATTTAAAGTTATGCTTAGGAGGTGTTTCCCGAAAAATGGGAAAAAAATTCTTGTTTTTTGTCATTGGTCACATTTGGTTAGAAAATAAAAAATTACCCACATTTCACGACAAATTTGGCAATACATGTGTTTAAAAGGTTTAAAAGGAAAAAGGAGGGTTTAATAACAAATTTTAACCCCCATAAAATACAAAAAAACGAACCATTTTTGGGAAAAATCAACCCCAATTTTTAGTTTTGGGACCCTATTTTTTTCGCTTAACCTATAAAAAATTTTGGGGTGCGAGTTTGGCGCCCAATTTCTTTTTTAGCATGCAAAAAATATACTACAAATTTTAATTGTCATTTTGACATTAAAAATAATTTTCACATTCCCCTCATGTTGTTTAAAATTATATTAATCTGTGGCAAAGGGAAAACGCAAAATTTTAAAGGTTTCAGGTCCGTTTCCCGCAGCAAAAGTACAATTACATAAATAAGGAGAAGCCTGGATAAAATATTTTCAAGATAAGAATATATTTTGTAGCGTAACTCGAATCATCTTTAAAGGGATAGATAATCAATACACTTTAATCTTGTCAAAGCAAACCATACTGCATAATATGTAGATTATTAAATGAATGATACATAATCAATCTGTATTTAAGAAGAACTGGAGATGACACAGTCTTTCTGATATTGAGATTTGCCGAAAAGCCATTATTAAGAATTTCGTCGCACTCAAGAAGTATTTGCATCCTGATCCTATAATTGATTGTGATACAGGCTTTGAATTACTCAACGTCGCAGACAGAAGGAATATCCAGGTACGATATAAAGTAGTTTAGAGGCAGTGCAATTTAGATTACTTTATTCAACTGTCAGTATTTGATGACATGTGTGACATTTAGGCATTTTTTAAATTTTAATTGCTGATTGTAATATAATTCCTGAGAAATAATCATTTCATGCTTAGAACTTACATTTGAAATATTCTTTAACAATATGTCATTATTTCTGATAAATTATTTCAAAAAGAGAACTTGGTAAGCAAATGAAACAAAAATTAAACGCTTACCGAACGTATTAAAACTGTTATCAACAAGTTGATATAGAGGTAAAAAATATGAATCTTATTCATAAAATACAATGTTACAGGGTAAGGATCCAACTGATAAGAATGAAACGATATTGAGAAAAGTAATATCCAAAGGTGCTAAAGGTTACACAGATTTTAAGGATCGTCTTAAAAAGACTTTGCAGACTGAATTATTAGAGCTGATCGTTTGTGCAGAGAATGGCCAGGACACAAAAGAGATTGAGAGTCGGCTTGAGAAAACTGCATTGTTATGTCCAGAGTATATCAAACAAAGAGGTGGTAAGTAAATTATGTTACGTTTGCGTGAGCACTGTGTTCAGTGGTAAGGATTTGTGACTGCAAGCATGTCGATTGTTCCAGCATTGTCTGTTAACAAAATTTTCACCTGACTCAAATAATCAATAAATATCAACTTTTACAGAAATGATTTAAAGTGAGCCTTCTACAATATTTTTCCCTTATTGGTTTATGTTTGATAGTAAGTAGGCCATGTTTAGTTTAAGATAAAAACTTACCTTTACAAACCTTCTATTAAGAAATGATATCGGTTTGAGCGGGTATTTATCGGCTTTTAACACCGGTGCGTAGGAAGGCAGAATAGGTGAAAATCACAAACGATATTCTTTTAAAACAAGGTTGTAATGTGCATAAGAAGTAGTTTCATTGATTTTTTTTATAAAGTTTCTTTGTGTGTCAAGGTGAATGAGAAAAATGGTTAGGCAGAGGAAAGGGAAATCCCAACCCTCGAGTAATCGGTTCCGTCGGGAACTTGCCAAAGCTCGTTCTTGAAAGAACCGATCACCCTCTGGTTGAAATTTTCCTATCCTCTTTTAAACTTAATGATAGATTCCATTATTCTAAAGATTCTGTCAGCAAGTGAGATACAATAGCCTAAATAGCTTTGAAAATAAGGCGTGACATAAGACAGGGGACTTAACTAGTACGATGTAATTAAATTAATATATTAATGAGTTATCTCGTTTTTCTGTGACCAAAACACTTTTTGCATTTTTGTGCAAAATGAAATTCATGACAATGTTGTTGTATGCATTATTTTCACAGATGACGTTGTAAATTGTGCTGAAACAGCAATTTTATTTACATTTTAGTTCTATTTAAGATTTTTTTTCAGTAATATGGGCATGATTATTAATGAGCAAAACCGAAATTATGGTATTTCAGCTGCGCCGTTTTATCAACGCTCTATGACACGTCGCAGACTAATATTCGTCGCAGACCGGTACGGACCGTTTTTGTTAATGTACATGTCGAAGCTCTACGACACGCAAAGGGCAGTCGGGCGATGTTTCTGTGACGTCAATCGCTGTTTACATATACATTTGTATACATGCTCAGCACATTATTTTTTATGAAATAACTTTTTCAGAAATAAAACAGATATTTCTTTTGTTTTTTACTTGTTTTTTAATGCCAAACGCTATTTTGGGGACTCTAGACATGCCCTCTAAGTATCAGAAAGAAAAAGAGTCCGCAAATGTTATACCCCATAAAATGACTAAAATATCGTATATGTGAAGCAAATATTTCACTTGTAGGCCTGAAAGTTTACAAGAATGTTGGTCAGCATGTGTACTTATGCACCTTGGGCTTTGCTTATGGATTTATTCAGTATTTTAAAGTTCTTAGTAAAATTTTTTTAGTTTCCAAAAAAATATTTGACTATAGAGTCATAAGATTGACAGAACAGTGGCGCGGTGGGGGCACCCGTGTCCTATTGGCACATTTCTAGTTTATTTTCAATTGTGAAAAATCATTATAATTTTACTAGATTTGACATAAATTAAGATACTTTTTTGAGGAACACCCATATGGTATAAAATAGGTAGAGAACGTCGGAAGGTTACCATTGATATGACACTGAAAAAACAATTTTAAAGGGGAAATAAAAACAGTCAATAGAATATATTAAAAAAGATCAACGAAGACAAGGCGAGAGTAACAATCAGTTATCATGGATGAAAAAAGCACTAATATATAAGTTGTCAAATTTAATTATTAACTGCACAATTTGCATGGGTGTAATTAATTATGCATTTTAATTCTTTTAAAAAACAATCTAGTATCTGAACTGCAATGCCGGGGGGTTGGGGATTATTTGAAAATAATAAATAAATAGTAGTATTACATGAGCGTGTTACGTCTCAATTAAGAAAGCAGTGCGCATTCCTTTACTGTCATTAATATACCGTCACGAAAATATGACATTACGGCAATTCATTATTTCCATAATTAACAACAGTAACATATTGTATTTCTTCCAAACAACGAGAAAGAAAGATACCTAGTTACGAAATTGTCTGTTTTTGTCTTGTGTCTACTGTATTCCTCGGAAAATACTATCAAAAAGATGATTATGAATGTACTCGAATGTACTCGAATCTTCTCGAAAACCATACTTAGTTTTTAATTATTTTTTATTTATATTTAGTTACTACTGAAACAATCATTAACCTTAACTATCGGTTTGCTTCTGTTAATTTTTAGCTCCGACTATTCGATAAGAATAAATAGAGCTATTTTTAGTCACCCGAGCGTCGGGCGTCGGCGTCAGTGTCGGCGTTTGGCGTCTGCGGTCGGCGTAACCACTTATGCTTAAAGTTTTTTAATGTTAATAGTTCAAATATGTTCAAAGTCCATTGACATATGGCTTTGAAACTTTGCACACTTGTTCACCATCATTACCCTAACCTGTATACAAGAGGAGGTAACTGCATCAAGCATTTTGACAGAATTATCCCCTTTTTCGACTTAGAATTTACGTTAAAGTTTTTTTTAATAGTTCAAATATTTTCAAAGTCCATTGACATATGGCTTTGAAACTTTGCACACTTGTTCACCATCATTACCCCAACCTGTAGACAGGAGGAGTAACTGTATCAAGCATTTTGACAGAATTATGCCCCTTTTTCGACTTAGAATTTACGTAAAGTTTTTGTAATTAGTTCAAATATTTTCAAAGTCCATTGAACATATTGGCTTTGAAACTTTGCACACTTGTTTCACCATCATTACCCCAAACTGTATACAGGAGGAGGTAACTGTATCAAGCATTTTTTACAGAATAATGCCCCTTTTTCGACTTATAATTTACGTTAAATTTTTGCAATAGTTCAAATATTTTCAAAGTCCATTGACATATGGCTTTGAAACTTTGCACACTTGTTCACCATCATTACCCCAACATGTAGCAGGAAGAGGTAAGTGTATCAAGCATTTTTGATGTAGAATTATGCCCCTTTTTCGACTTAGAATTTACGTTAAAGTCATGTAATAGTTCAAATATTTTTTCAAAGTCCATTGACATATGGTCTTTGAAACTTTTGCACACTTGTTCACCATCATTACCCCAACCTTTAGACAGGATGGTTGGTAACTGTATCAAGCATTTGACAGAATTATGCCTTTTTTCGACTTAGAATTTACGTTTAAAGTTTTTTGTAATAGTTCAAATATTTTCAAAGTCCATTGACGATATGGCTTTTGAAACATGCACACTTGTTCACCATCATACCCCCAACCTGTAGACGAGGAGTAATTGTATCAAAGCATTTTTTTTTTTTAACTATCAAGAACTAAGAATAGTCGAGCGTTGCTGTCCTACCACAGCTCTTGTTTGGAATTAAATTCGGTTAGAATTTTTTTAGTTATTTGTATGAAAGTTCAAATAACTACTTTGTGAAATTTTGCTACAAAATTTGTTTTAAAATTTCACATTGGACCAAAAAACTATCTTCTTGATGATTAGGGCATCTGGACAAGGCTCTAAAAACATTTTAAACGTTAAAAACCCCGTTGTTTGGGCTCTGCTCATGGAATAGGGTGCGATTTAGAGTGCCGTAAAAGTAGCTGTTTTCACTTTATGGACCCACTAAAAAGTATTTTTGTATCTAATATAATTTTAATTTTCAAAAATCTCCATTGTCTACGTAAAAGTTTTTTTTTTCCTTTTTTTGCCTCTCCATGTTGTTAATTTGCTTTCTTCTGTCACTTTGATTAGCTGTAGTCTAAGCGAGCACTGAATGCGGTTCTCCCGTGTTATCTCTCGACAAAGACTGCGAAACCGTCGCAAAACGTCAGCGACACGTTTCAATAAAACGGTTTGTACGACGTTGTCGCAGAATGCGACCCACCGACAAAAATAGAGAATAATAGTTATGGTGCCGTGGATGGAGAAAAGTTGATCTGACGAGGCGAAGGAATTTTATTGGGTGAATCGAAGTCGAACCCAATTTAAATTCCGGAGCAGAGGCCAGATAAACTTTCTCCCATTCACGGCACCAATCTATTATTATCTTATTAATCCTGTCACCGTTTTTTTAAAGACTTTTATTAGGCAAAACTACCTTTAATCACACTATCGGAAATGTTTAGTATATAAACAAAGAAGGCCCGAAGCGTTTCATTATTCTACAACAATGCACTCGCCCGTTTCCTTATTATCCTCCCTGTAATTTTCCACATTTGAGGGCGCCCATTTTGTTTGAAAATGTGATGAAAAAAAAAACAATTTTTTTGTCGAATTTTTGTTGTGGAAAACTAATTCTGGAATGTAATAAAATGGTCTAATAAGAAAAAATGACATCAAAACAGCAGTATCTTATTATACAGACGTTTAAAGTAATTGTTAACGAGGACGTACAATGTAAAACGCCAAAACAGCAACGTGCAAACACAATAAATCAAGGGTTACGCTATTTTAAAATGTCGCAAACGAGTTAAGTTTTACATTTATTACACTTGAATAAAGTTTTATTTCCCGCTTGTTAAAATATAGAGTGAAATAAAATAAACAAACAAAGTTTTATCAAACGTTTCCAAAATTCGTTATTCTACACACAGAAGATTTAACGAACAGTTTTTATATTTTTTCTTGAAAAAGTAGGTCCGGCAAACATGCATACCACGTGATCAAGTGCCGGTTGATCCAGTTAAAAATATACGGCACCTTGTTACGGGCCCGAAATTGATACATGTGACAGGAGTAAAATGTTGAAGACTACGAATTTGATGTAAAGGGGGCCCAATAAATGGCGGTTCCGTCACGAAACATTATACACTTTTTTATGTAATTTTATTAAAATTCCCTCACTGTCATGCTTACCAAAAAAATAACTTTGGGCATTATGCTCCGTTAGCGGTGCTCTTGTAACTTTTTACAAAGACGGTGAATTTACTTGTTTACGGGAAACCTGCAGGAACCGATGCAGGATTAAATGTGTTTTTTTTCCCAACTATTAATCTATAACTCAAGATTTTGGAAAAGAATTATTTAAAATATTTTTGTATTGACTTTAAAAAATTTTTAGTTTGGCACGCAAAATCGGATACTGGTAAAATAAGGATAAACTGAAAATTAAAAAGCATTTTCACGTGTTTCTGACTTTTTTACATTTGAAAATTTTACCTCAATTTTTAATTTTGTTATAAAATTATTTTTAGTTTTGTGTTATGAAACTTTTTCCCAACAAAATTAAATTT